TATCCGTGGGTTTTTTTTTTTTTTTCAGATCTCTGATTAATATTGTGCGTGTGTTTACATATGACTGCATATGTTTCTGTTTGGCTGTAAACTGGACATGAAAGACTTTATAATTGTTTGGTTATCAGAAAAATAGCACATGAAAAATGTGTGAGTTCAAACACCGTTTTGGGACATTGATGTCACCTAAATTATTCATTTCTCACCTGTTTGATGCTTTCATGCACATTGCATGTGGGTCAGTGACATGAGGCTCATTTGTATCAATTTATACACACAATGAGTTGAACACATCTCTTCTATAATGAGCATGTATTTTATTTTAGAATTAAAATAATTTTTTTTAGACATTAAGTCAAAAATATCATGAGGACAATTGTCATAATATAATGAAGAATTATTTTTTTTATTGTATTGTTTAATATTTGAAAAAATTAATATGGTACAACAAACATGCAGAAATGTGTACAAAAAACTGAAAATTATATCATAGAGAGGATTTCTAATAATATTCATAATAATATTAGATTAATAATTTAATTATAATAATGTATAATACTTTTATTATTGTTGTTTTTGTTTAATAATTAAGCTAGGATAATAATAATAATAACTTGTTTTTGTTTAAATGATTGTTGTTATTATTAAATAGTTATTTAATTATTATATTAAATATATTACATATAAAATAATGATCATAGATAGGACTAATGATGATAATAATAATAATAATTAAAATAAATAATTATATATATATGTATATGTATATGTATATATATATATATATGTATATGTGCTTTTTCTCCACAGGCGGCTCGTTTGAAGCTGGCGGTTTTGCCCGTGGTGGGTGCAGTGGTGGGAGGAGTGCTAGGAGGGCCGCTGGGACTCTTAGCGGGATTTAAAGTGGCGGGGGTTGCTGCTGCCGTGGGGGGTGGACTGCTTGGTTTTGCCAGGGGCAACCTGATCCAACGGATGAGGAAAGAAAGTATCGCCCTGCAGCTACAACAGCTTAAGAGCAACAACAACAGTAAGAACGACACTCAGTGATACACTCAAGCACATTTGTTTTTGTAGAGGAGGCCACGAGACGGCGGAGTTGGCGACCCACGCGCATTCTGAAATAAACACCAGACGCTCAATGCACATAAAACAACCACAACTGCAGAATAACTCCTACACGCAGTGCAAACATGCATATGTGACATGCTACAACGAGTGGACCTGCTAATTTTCCTTTTGCCTTAATTCATCATTCATTTCTATGCCAAAGCAAACAAGGCCTTATTCCATCATCTGACATGCTGTCGATCAGCTGATCGACCTTTGTAGCGGTAATGTGACTGTAGGTGTTAGAGATCATAGATGATTGTTGTATAAGAGTGTGAACTATATAACATTAAGATTTGTTAATGTTATATACTGAGGAAATCCATACTGAGGATTTGCAGAAGGTGACATGGTTCTGTTTACTACAATTATGTAGATTTTTTGTGCTAAAATTGTAAAAGTTATTGCAGAATTTTATGATAAACACTTAAAATGCCCCTGTGCGGTATTGTAACTATGATGGATTTCTTTTTAATTCTGTTCTTGGATTATGAGTAGATATAAATGAAACGTTGCACAGTAGTGAGAAACTCAATACACTATGAATGAACAATTAATACATATCATTATCAATGACAAATTATGAAGTTAAAATTATGATACAGTTTCCATAGTCTGTGGAGCTCATTGTGTCCAGACCATGAATACTTATTTTGCCTTAACTTTTGATCAATTACATATTTCAGACATCTAATAATGTCTCAGGCTGCTAAAAATAAATGAAATTTGAATAACATTAATAAGCCACTGTAATGGTTAATTATTATACAAATTTAATGGTTTGTTTAAATATTATTAATATAACAGAATAGATAAGGCTTATAACTATACATATAGCAGACAAGTTGAATAAATTATAATTGCACATTGAAGAAGAGAATCTGCCTCTTGGGTAATTGCTTGTATGCTGTAATTGTGGAAATACCGATGCTTCATGTATGATTTCTTATGATCTTTTCTGTTTTTCTTAGCAGTTAGCACATCTGATCAAGATGATTCTGATCAACAACTCTCAGGTTTAGATAAAACATCCTGCTAAACTGGGTTTACCCAGGCTGCTCACGTGTTTCATATATCTTTCTATGTGCTGCTGGGGTGGCTGATAGATTTGGGTGAGGTTTCCCTGTAAGGCTTTGATAACACAAGCCTCTGAGAGGCAAATCTAATACTGAAATCAATGCACTGTGAGACCTCCTTCAGCACAAACAACATTTGAATGTTATTTGATTACGGTCCTGAAGGACCAGCAGAAAACAACAATAGCCTTTTATGGTTTATCGACCCTTATTTTAGTTTCACTTGTCAAAAAGAGAAAAATAAAAAATTGTCCGTTATCACTCGTTTGGTTCTTTTGCATTTAATAGTAGTACTGATTCACACAAAATGGTCTGTAGGAACCACAAGGTCCGCTTTATCAAAAGATTCAGCGCCATTGAAAAGCAGTCTAAAAACCAACTTCTCATTAAAAAAAAAAAAAAAGAAGTTAAATCTGTTTGTTTTTGTCCTGACTGAGATGCGCGGCTGCTGCCCCCAGTCTCAAGCGTTGTTTTTTTGGAGTGAGCAGGGGGATCCCCTCACAAACACGGAGCTGGGTCTGAGACGCACCCTGGCCCCCACGCCTTCCTCATAACACAACACACTGGACTTCCCCTACGAAGGGGCGAATGAACATCTCCAGCAGCACATGCAAGCCACCCTGTGCGTGATAGCCCGAGTGCTGAGCTCTGCATGTGTTCGGCTGTGCTGCTCGGGGAGGGAAAGTCCCAGGCGACTGACCTGCACACAGCCGAGTGTCAGACACATTGCACTTTCCATATTCTGTGCGAACACACTCGCGCACTCAAATGGAAAAGATGGCAGGCCATCTGTGGTGCTCTGTGATGCAATCTCCATAGGTGTTGTGATGTCATGGGTTCCTGCTGTGGGCGGGAAGATGTTTCATGACATCAGAGACCCTTTTTCTTGTGCCTCCTTTAAACACCCACTTCAGTTCATTTCCATATTACTATAAAGACGTAGCTAAAGATAAAAGTCTTTTTTGATGTCTGAAGATAAGGATGGTGGAGGGGAAACTGTAGTCACATTAGGTCAGCTTCCCTAGAAGTGTATAGTTAGAAATAGTTGCAAATATTTAAATTAAGACAGTTTCAAGAGTTTGTACGCTGTCATTTGCATATTCTTCATATTAAAAGCTGTTTTCCCCACACTTTTAAATACCAAATTGTGGCCTAAATATCTGTCTGCTGTTATAAAAAAAAGTACTTGAAACATTAAACTAAATGTATAGCATTTAGAGGCAAATTTCTGTTACTGAGCAGGTTATTAGGTTAGATCATATTTTAAAGGGATAGTTCACCCCAAAACGAAAATTCTGTCCTCATGTACTCACCCTCTTGTAGTTCCAAACCTGTATGACTTTTTTTTTCTGTGGAACACACAAAACAATACTTTATCTGTTTTTGTACTTGTTTTGTCTTTTTACGCTTCACAGAAGAAAGTAAGTCATACAGGTTTTGAACACACGAGTGTGAGTAAATTGAATTTGCATTTTTGGGTGAACTGCAACTTAAATTAGTAAGTAACTTTATGCACAGGCTACTGAAAACTGAATTTACCTGCATTTTAAGTGGACGGCAGTTTTATTTTAGTACTATTTATATACTATTATAATTTTTATTAATATTATGAGTTGTGTTTTATATTTTCATGTTTGAGATAAATGTGTGTGTGTGTGTATTTATTCATTTATTTGAGTAATTTTAGTACTTCAGTGTAAACGTATCTCAGTTAAATGCCAAGGCAACATTTCTAATTTAGATTTTTTTTTTTTCATCTAATATTTAGATTTTATTTAATTTCAGCTTTATTTCAGTTACCAAAAGTGAATTTAATAGTTTTAGTTAACAATAACAACACTGATGGACAGTAGGTCATTTTAAATCTTTTCAAAAGCGTAATCAGTTCATTTTTCAAAGAAGCCACTTACGAGTGGCAATAATTCTTCAAATAGTTTTTGAAACTGCAGCCTGAATCTAGTTGTTTATGATTAAAGTAGCAGATGTTGCTGCATGCACTCTTTAGGTAGGGTCTGTTAGCTCTGTCAGTGACATTTGGATGATGCTGCTGCCCCCATACTCTCAGAAAGAGAGAGAGAAAAATGAAAAATTGCTCCTTTATCTTGTCACTGGTACAGTAAGGCACTAATATGAATATGTTGATAGGTTACAAAGATGTACCTTTGAGGATACTGCCCTAGTGACAAGCTGTTGTACCCCTTAATGTATGATTTCTGCAGTACATCGAGTACATACTGTCTGTTTATGCAACCTGTTGACTTTGGGACATACATAGTTTTGTTACACTAAGATCAAATGACTACTGACAAATTTTAAGAAAACATGACTGATTAAATCAGGCCTTTTTGAGCAATTACATCCTTTGTGCAACATTAGGCTCACTTTCTTTGTTATCTTAATCCTAAAAACTTTTTTTTTTTAATCTCAGTTTAGTCATCTGGGTCTGCCACAGTTTGAAGGGGTAGTCCACTGTTGGTGGACAGATGGAGTATGAAGTGCTCACAAGGCAATAGTTTGTCTTTGTGACACTGCTTCCCAACTTTAGATCACGAAGACCGAACATTTGGATTAAAATGCACAATATTTTAGGTCAAGGATAGTCTGTACGACAATAAAAATTCTGTTAGTAAATCATTACTCACCCTTGTGTTATTCCAAACCTGTATGTGGAATGAAAAAGACAATTTGAAGAATGTTGGTAACCAAACATTTTTGGGTCCATTGGCTTCCAATGTACAGACAGAAAGTACAATGCAAGTCAGTAGGAACTCAAACTGTTTGGTTACCAACATTCTTCAAAATATCTTTGTTACACACAGATAAAAAAAAAAAAATCATACAAGTTTGGAACGGCATGAGGGTGAGTAAATTTTCATTTTTCGCCGGACTATACCTTTAAGATGATTGACAGTAATGTACACAGGAAGAGCCGTGTACTTAACATGATTTTGATTGGGATGTTTTTTTTTTTGCTTAAGACAACTATTAATTACCTTTTTACCTTACATTTTTATAAAATATCATTTAAAGGATTAGTTCACCCAAAAATGAAAATTCTGTCATTAAAGGGTTAGTTCACCCAAAAATTAAAATTCTGTCATTATTTACTCACCCTCATGTCGTTTCAAACCCGTAAGACCTTCGTTCATCTTCGGAACATATATTAAGATATTTTTGATGGAATCTGAGAGCTGTCTGACCCTGCAATATCAGCTGGACGTAAACAATGTATGCTGTTCTTTGTCAGCTGCGTCACGCCGGATCCGTTTCCTACATTGTTTGCGCTTCGATTCGAATGAAAACAACATAGCCGCATGACACAGTTGCATCATTCTCGGCAGATATTCTCCAAAATGGCACCAGGGTGATGCGGAGGAGACGAATTGTTTAATGAAGTCGTTATTTTTTTTCTTTTGCGCACAAAAAGTATTCTCGTGGCTTCATATAATTGCGGATGAACCACTAATGTCACATGGATTATTTTACAGACCTCCTTGCTACGTTTCTGGACTTGGGAACATTTCAGTTGCATTGCTGTCTATGCAGAGTCAGACAACTCTCAGATTCTATTCTATTCTATTCTATTCTATTATATTTTTGCTCTCAAAAATATCTTAATTTGTGTTCTGAACATGAACTAAGGTCTTACAGGTATAGAACAACATGAGGGTGAGTAATTAATGACAGAATTTTCATTTTTGGGTGAACTATCCCTTTAATATGTTTGTTAGTGTCAATGGATGCATGTAGTAATTTTTTTTTGACAGATAAAGGGACCATGTTGCTGAATAGCCTTGTAGACTATTTCCTGGAGACAAGCTCATCTCAAGCTGTGGACATCCTGTCTTCTGTCAGGGAGCCCCATGATAAGGTGAAGGAAGACTCATCTTCAGTAGTCTTCAGTATACACTTTGGTTAATAGTGATTGATTCATCATGGATTTCAGAACATCACTGATTAATGAATAACAGCCTCATCTGGATATATTTCTTTGTAGTATCTTTTAGATAAGATGAATGAATGCATGGGCAAGCAGAGCTGCCGCCTCTCCACCATCACCCTCCTCGGCCATATTGTTCGCAAGCAGCCACCATGGATCCACAAGATCGCTCGCTTCCCTCTGCTTGCCTCGCTGCACAAATGCCTCAAGGTACCAAAAATTCAAAGCCAGTCAAGTGTGATAGGGTTACAAATGGGACTTTGAACTTGGATAATGGCTTGCATGTGGGTTGTTCTGACTTGAGAAAACAGAAATGGAATTCTGCTTTGGAAATTGTTTTAATGGGATATTTCATCCAAAAATGAAGATTGTCATTTATTTACCCTCTTGTTGTCCCTAAATTGTCTTCTATACATATACTATATATATGTGAGTGTGTGTGTGTGTGTGTGTGTGTGTGCATATGTATGTACAACTATATAAACTACTGTTCAAAAATGTTGGTTCAGTTTTTAGATATTTAAATGGATTTTTAAGTCTCTTATGATCAAAAATATATTAAAACAGTTACAGGTGCATCTCAATAAATTAGAATGTCGTGGAAAAGTTCATTTATTTCAGTAATTCAACTCAAATTGTGAAACTCGTGTATTAAATAAATTCAATGCACACAGACTGAAGTAGTTTAAGTCTTTGGTTCTTTTAATTGTGATGATTTTGGCTCACATTTAACAAAAACCCACCAATTCACTATCTCAACGAATTAGAATACTTCATAAGACCAATAAAAAAACATTTTTAGTGAATTGTTGGCCTTCTGGAAAGTATGTTCATTTACTGTACATGTGCTCAATACTTGGTAGGGGCTCCTTTTGCTGAGCAGCATCATTGATTTAATGAGTGAACAGATAAGACCCCGAGAGGGCCGACAGTCTCCAAAACCACCGCATTTTAACAAGATAATGACATCATCTGTACTGTCCCAGATGCCACCGACCCCCTGGACAATCAGCTGTATCAAAGACTGACGAGAGGCAGGCTGAAAAGGCCCTTATTGGATAATAGGATATACAGAGTGCTTAATAAAATAAGGCATGTGCTGAATTATGATGCTTTCTGTCATATATGGCCTCTGGTGTCATAAATAATTATGATGCTGTAATAAACTAGTAATAACAGTTATAAACCTATGAAAACTAAGCTACTATGTTCATACACATTACAACTATCATGCAGGTGTTGCTAAATTAATTGGCATAACTGGCTGAGAGATGAAGCTCAAAGCCCATTCTCTATCACTCACTCAGTATGTGTTTCTGTGGGGCCAAAGTCTACAATCGTTTAATTGGTAGGTGTCTGGAACAAGAGATAACCTGCAGAGAGGAGGCTGAAAGAATCTCTGCAATAAATACATACGGACAAGTGCAATACTTACGCAAGGTCGCTGAACTCTGGGAAGACATACATGTGGCGGAAGCTATCAATGGCAATGACAGGGCAGTCGGCGGGGGTCTTCTGAATGTGCAGTAGAGGGTGCCGGAACTTATCGCAGTCGGCATGAAGAAAATTGATAGAACCTGAGAGAAAAGGTCAATTTAGATGTGTTATAGATACTGACTGTGTCTAACCATCATTTTATGCCATCAAATTAGTTATGTGCAAAACACATTTTCAAAACAGACTAGTTATTGGGTTACCTGAATGATTAATTAATTGGTCGATCTTAAAGGGATACTTCCCTTAAAATGAAAATCCTCTCATCTTTTACTCACCCATATGCCATCCCAGATGTACATGACTTTCTTTCTTTAATTGAACACATACAGTGGGTACGGAAAGTATTCAGACCCCCTTCAATTTTTCACTCTTTGTTATATTGCAGTAAGGGGGTCTGAATACTTTCCGTACCCACTGTATATTTGTAGAAAACAAGCAATCCATTATTATATATTTCATATAATGCAAGTGTACATACCTCCGAAGCTGATGCTTTAAAAACCACCGCTTTCACAATGAGCTTACATCGTGCTTCACAACATGCTGCAGTTACGTTAAGTGTATGCACGTATGAAGAGAAGGGTCTGGTTGTAGACATGCACTTGCACTCTCAGACACCTGCACTTCCACAAGTGACGTCACTTGAACGTTCACTTTTTTCCTTTTATTTTTTTAATAGAATCTGTCAACATTTGACAAAAGAAGCCAGGTGGTGAAGACAGGAAAAAGAAACTAAATTATAATGCCACCTGCGACGTCACTTGCAATCGACACAAATTGTGCGTGTTGCCAATGGAGACCAGACACTGTGGTGGTTAAACGATTAAAACTAATTTAGTACCATAACGTACAGGGTCCTGCAAGTCACCTGTAGGAGAAAAAGACAAGACCCACAAATCTTTGGCCACAGAACAGCAGAAGATGAACACAATGCACAGTCTCTCATTAAGCATTTTCCTCCCATAGAAAACCATAAACACTTAAAATGGCTTAATGTATTAAGATAGTACTATTAAAAGATCAAATTCGATATACAGTTTATTAATATTATTTATATGTACTGTATATGTTGTTTTCTCCCATACTGCAAAACGTGGCATAACGGACTAAGATGATAAAGACCAAACTCTATATACTACTCCTCATAATTAAAACATAACTAATATGTACAGGCAAGCAGGTGAGCCCAGAATAAACGCAACAGGCAAAGTTTTGTGGTAAGCATTTTTCCATATAGAATAAAATGTCTACAGCCTTTTTATATCACTGTCTTCATCCATTAAGCTACATTATGTGTTATATTTATAATGATTTTCCATGGGAGGAAAACGTTTAATGTGCAATTTAATGCATTGCATTCTGAGCTCATCTGCTTGCTTGTACGGATTTGGTCCTTTTAATATCACTTTCTTACTGCATTTCTTAATGCACGTTCATATCTGCTGGTCTGTATATAGTTTGCATCAACAATAAGAATTTGGTCTTTATCATTTTAGTCCATTATGCCACATTAAGCTTTTTGCTGTATGGGAGGAAAAGTGAAAGTTTGTGCATTGTGTTCATATACTGGCCATCTGCTTGCCTTGTAGTACATTATATTAATAAATTGTATATCGAATTTGATCTTTTAATGCCACTGTCTTAATACATTAAGCCATATTAAGTGTTTATGGTTTTCCAGGGGAGGAAAACTCTTAATGAGAGACTTTGCGCATTCTGTTCATCTTCTGCTGTTCTGTGGCCACAGATTTGCGAGTCTTGTCTTTTTCTCCTACAAGTGTAATTGTTTCTTTTTTCTTGTCTTCTTCACCACCTGGCTACTTTTGTAAAACTTTGAGAGATTAAATAAAATAAAATAAAATAAAAAGATTGCAAGAAGCGCAGGTGTCTGAGAGTGCAAGTGCATGTCTGCAGCCAGACCTATTGCGATTGACAGTTGCCTGGAAATGATAGCTTATTTGTTTAAGAAGGTCCAATACACTTACATTATATGGGGTCACAGAGATGGATTATTTTTCAAAAAATATTCATTCATCTGAAGAAACCAAGTCACATACATCTGGAATGGCATGAGGGTAAGTACACGATGAGAGAACTTTCCTTTTTTGATGGCGTATCCCATTAAAGAAGGCCATGATGAAATGGCAGACTGACTAAATGAATCTGCAAAATCATTCTCTAGCATAGGTGGCACTTTTAGAACAGCAGAAATACTCTGAAATTAAAATGTTAGATCATACCAAATGTTCACACCGAAGTACAACATACAAACTACTGGTGCCAGGGGTCTCTATGATCTGCTTTGGCTTACAATGCTTTTGGGAAATGCAGTGCTGAACTGAAAAGCAATGTTGATGGCATGAGCTGGTAAGCGAAAACCTGCGATACATGACTCAATGGCCAAAGTGGATACATTTAAAGATGCAAGTTCTCTGAATGGGTTTTATTAATTCTCATAGTTTGCATCCCTGCACATGAGCGGTATCTAACCAATGAAATATGAAAAATGACCCGCCCATGACCCTTTCTCATCCCTATGCATACCCTTTTCACTGATAAGCTGGCGAGCCACTTCTTGCTGAAATTTCTCCAGACTATCCGTGTCGTCCTTCTGATGGAAGAGGATCAGGAATGGGATGCCCTCCTCAGTCAGTTCCTTTACACACACACAAAACAATTCTAATCACAGTCGAACACAGGCAAGCAGAGTGATACAATATTAGCACTGAAGGAACGTCGCTCTGATTTGAGGGCCACAACTAAATGCGGTCTAATGAGTTTTGAGAATGTGTAGGATGTTTGGGTGAAGTGCAGTTGGGCAGAGGTGGGTCAGTGGAGCAGATTGTGGAGAATCTGCCCTATCACCAAGCAACACAGACTGAAGTTATTCAAAACATGCGGTCAAGTAAATCAAAGAAAAAACCCACACCCACTAAAGGACATGGCATGCGGACGACTTTAAAACACAAACACACTTGAAACGTACACAGTCAGATGTGCTCGAGTGTGGGAAAAGTACACTGAGGGGGAGGGGACTTTTCTTATGCAAATGATGAATTCGTTGTTCGACTGTTAGATGTACACAAATAGCAAATGCGGACAAAAAGTACACGCACTACCTCTTATACACAAACAAAAAGATATTTTGAGAAAGGAAAGCATACTTCTCCATTTTCAAATGTGATTTCTCGGACTAGTGGCACACACTTGTCCTGTGTCCATGCGTAGCTGAGGTCAAAATTTGTGAGTGAACCCATGTAGACCATGTCAGGAGCATTCTCTCCCATTGGCTTATAAATAATGTTATCACCACTGAACCGCTCAGGCTTAGAAACATCCCTGTAAAAAATGAGAAAAGACTAGAAAAAATGAGGTACAATTATGACTGGCTTGAATTAAAGGGGTCATATGATGTTATTTCAAGTTTTCCTTTCTCTTTGGAGTGTTAAAAGTTGTTCGTGCATAGATAAGATCCCTAAAGTTGCAAAGACTAAAGTCTCAAACCCAAAAAGATATTCTTTATAAAAGTT